AGTGAATCGTCGAAATCGTTGCACCATGAGTTCTGGCAGTACTAGGTCTCACCAGAAAACGGGCAACAACATGTACAACGGAGTCAAAATAAATCGCGAAATGCCAAAATATTGTGATTGCGCGTACATGGTCGGCGTACAAACTTCATGGACAGATGCAAACCCAGGACAACGGTTCGTAGCTTGCCCTCAAAGAGGGGTAATTTTTTCCCATCAACTCAAAATTACTGGTTTTCTTATAACAAAATATGTTTTTGTATTAATGAACCTTAATGAATGCGATTTTGATGTTGGGCATGTGTTGGGTTCTAAATTAAAACAATACAACGACTATCGCGATTGTCTGTTACTGTTATTATGTGCTTCTTAAATATTGAACACAATATATTAAGATTTTGGTTCAAACACATTTCAATTGAAAATTTCGTTGAGCTTATCTGGTGTCGTATTGTAATGAATTATTTTAACATTAGTGCGTATTTGTGTTTGTTCAGTTTGATACAATTTATCTGATGCTAATGAACTGAACATACAATTTCAGGTTAATGGTTGTCGTTTTTTTAATTGGTGTGATCCTGAAATGTGTAATAGATCAAAGCAAATTATTCTAGGATTGCTCAAGAGAATAAACTATTTGGAAGCGCAGATTCCATTGGAAGTCTCCGTTTTGGTTAAGAAAATATTGGATTTGGAATCCCAATTGCAACAGAAGAGTGATGGGAATGGGAAAATCCGTGTAACTAATACGTCGTAGCTTGCAGTACTAATGATATGTTTACCACTATTTTATATTATTGTGTATCTAATTAGGTTGTCTTTTTGTATTGACACAACAATTGATAGTATTAGCATTTGTATTGTGTATAATGATACAAATATTTCAGATCTGAAAAACAATGAACACGTCGTACTATGTATATTGGATTGAGTTTTAAATGACATATGAAAGGAGAAGAATATGGAATAAAAACCATATATTGTAATAAATATAACCATCCGATTGAACATATTATGATCTACGTCCCACGCGACCTAGAACTTGCAGCAACATGAAGTACTAGTCGAAAATTTGGGATCTTAGTTCCACGGCTTTAAAACATACTTAAAACAAGCAAATAAGAAAGGTTTTTAAAATAAAGTTGTACTGCATAAACATCATATTAGCAGATTCTACAAGTCTACAACATAGACCTAAATGTAAAACCTTCTAGTTACGGGGAGGTATATTGGACTACTTCGAACTGAGCCATGTCACCTGCAAATGGAACGAGTGCACGATTTTCCGGAGGAATCTGTTCAGGACCAACAATTTGAACATCATCTCCTTCGTGAATGATGATTGGGTTATCACGATGGTATCCGGTAAAACCTCGAAAGTTAACTGTCGGAGCTTGTTTGTCTTCAAACACATATTTGCATTGTTTGTACAACCGATATCCATTCACCCTAAAAGCCCTCTCCTATTCCGTCTCCTACAAATGGAATGCATGATTAATGGCTAATTGTCTTGATTAACAATCTATTAAATGAAGAACATATGAAACATTTTTTGAAAATCTTACACAACGGTCCAAATGCCACAACCTCCTATCCAATGTCACCTTCTTTTTGGAGTGTATGAACGTCACACCGTCTTGCACAATGTATCGCTTAAATGCTAAGAAACATTTTCGAAACCATTCCATTCTCCATTTGATATCAACCTCCTCAAAGTTTCTTGAGAAATGATAATTCACTGTCATGATAACTTCGAAGAGGAGGTCTTCGTACGCTTCTTCGTTTTGCAATGTATCCACGGAGTGTGCAAATCTGGCAGCGGCATTCTATAGGAAGTCATCGAATGAAACGGGCCACGACGTTTTGTTCATCCTTGCCAAGTGAACCTGGTTACGGGTTCTCGGCCGCGACATGACACCTAAACAATTGAACAAGCATTAGTTTGATAAAACATTAAACCAAAAGAAGATGAACAAATATATATTTTTTTTCACTAAAAATTTTTTTTACTCAAACCTTACAAAGTTGATGACAACAAAGAGAGGAATTTATGTGTATCCAAATGTGTACGCAAGTTGAACAAATTGTGCCCAACATAAATGGTCTCTTAAAGGAATTTAATGGAAAAAAGTAAAGAAATTGATTGGTTGAACCAAACGGTCACATTCGCCGCTTGATTTAGACTTCAATACATTGAATTTGTAGTGGGTGTTTAATGCATGTTAATAAATACATCCTGAAATGAATTGATCTATCATTGTTCACCGAGAGAGGTTAATGCACACTTACCCATTGACTCTTCGAATTCTTTCCTTCTTTCTTCAAGAAGAATTTAAGATCCTCCGAGTTGTCATAGTAGTGGTAGTTGTACCCCTGCAAATTCCATTAAATCCTCATATTTTTGATTAAAAAACGTCACAAATGACAATCTAAAGACAAGGATGGGATCGAAAGACAAGATTTTTAATGGCATATCTCCACTGCAACTCATGAAAATATTGTGTTCACAAATTCCATTCAGAAAAGTGCTATGTATATCGTATACAATAAGGTACTTACCTAACTGCAGTTATGACCTATTTTATTTACTTATATATGACGAGTGTGTGTATGACAAGTGAAACAAACTCACTGCTTAAGTCCAAAGATATAGCTTGCATGGCTCCAATGAAGAAACCAATTTTTAGGCAAGAAGATTTTCTGTACGAGTTAGTGATGCAGTCGATGACTATTTCGTCGAGTTATTGAGTTTGGAATCAAGTCTTGGCAACTTCGACCGTAATGGAAAAAATACTCTTGCCCAGCTGAGTTGTCAAGAGACGGTTCAGCACAAGTTCGACAAGTGGTTCTCGTACAAGCATTAAACCAAGAAGATAAGGTTATTAGAAAAGAGGTTTACTACGTTTCATTGGATATTGTCACAGGAAGGGGTAGTATACAATACAACTACTAACATCATCTCTCCATCCAAAGATGTGTGGAATCATATATTAAAGGTTTGTATCTAAGACAATTTACTTAATCTGTTTTGCTAATAAAGATACCATGTTAAAGTTTTTATTGTTTACAGACCAGTCATTATGCCGGAGCTTACAACCCCGTTGGCGAACTAAGGTATGACGCCCTAAAGTGTATCTTCGGAAGTGACCCTGTGGATATCCCAAATGAGGTGAAGAGATTATCATACTGCCTTCCGATGAGGATGAGCCAAAAACTAATGACGAAATGAATAGTGGCGGTGTAGCAAATGCAATTGAAGCGGACCGATTTGGTTTCATGCTCATGCATTTGACCTATTGGCTGAACAAGAGTTTGCAAATGTTGTCCCTAACGACCCCAACACGGTCATCAACATTTCTTCGGGTGTGTCGCGCAATGTTGATTTTGATATGATGCATTACCTAAACTACGTATCCGATTCCGAGGGTTCAAGGGACACCGAATTAAGCACGGCCAACTCACGCTTTGTGGATGAACCTTATGCAAAGGGTAGTTCTATTTTGTGATCGAGGGCTGATTTTGTAAACAGATTCATGCCTTTCGGTACTCCAAAGAGCTCGACTGCTTCAAACAAGCCACCGTTGGGCGCATTTTCTACCCCCGAAAACAATTGAATATGAAGGCTAAGCGTTATTGGGTTCTCTATATGAAAACTGACATGGTTTTTATTTTTATAAGATATATTTGTTTTGTGCATGTGCCATAGGTTACGTGCTTGTGTTGTAAAATAGTGCTTCTAGCCAATATGTACTGTATGTAATATATTTGCATTAACTATTTCCTTTCGTTGTTATTGTGGGTTGGCAAATTGATGTTTTTTTGGTTTTTCATGCACTACTGTAATGATGGAGTGATTTTTATCCTAATTACTTCATTACTGTTTAATATTTTATATGGTATGGTCTATGTTAGCGTTATGTGTATGGAATCGACTTTTAATTGCTTCGTTTGTATTTACAATTAATAACACATTACCGTATACAATTAAAAAAATATAGCAACACATTGAAATACTTGGGGAAAATTTAATGGTGTGTCATCAAAAGTTGGGGAAAATTTAATGTCGTAGATTAATACAATTCACCATAAGCATCAAAATACAAATAGATCATTACAATAATATGTCATATTAAAATCCAAATAACTTTTTAATAACTCCCTTCTAAGATCAATTCCACCATATTTGTTTTGTGTTCCTCACTCAAACAGAAGAATATGTCTAGGTCTTTGCTATTGCCACAAATTTTGGAAGTGACTTTGAGCCTTTCCACGAAAGTGAGATGTTGCAAGTTTTCTAGGGCATCAAACACTTGTTTCCGTGCAATAGACACATCTTTCTCGAAGCCCATACGACTAACAAGTTCATCCATTTGGGACTCCATTTTCTCAAAAAGCTTAGCCGTCATCTCAATGTAGCCACTTTCAATGGTGTCAACACGTGGCCGCTTCTTGGATTTGGATTTAGATTTTGCAGAAGTTGCTTCATCAACACGGCTGAAAGACATATACTGAGAATAATTATCCGCATTTGAAGGATCCATTTGTGGGACGTACTATCATCATTGGAAATAGGTTCTTTCCCTTTCGAATTGGTGACCAAATCATTGATGGCAAACGTTTCAGCATGTTCACCTGTTGCACGATCTTTTCCAAAGACCGTAGTCCAGTCTTTGTAAAATGGCCATAATTTGTACCTCATGGAACGGGCATTAGCATCCGTCTAAGTAAACATGGCAAAAATGAAAGACTTTAAAATGCATAAAATAAAATTAGTGCATTCAAACAAGAATTTATAAAAAGGATTTAATAATGTGATCTACCTTTACGTACTCTTGCCAAACTTGTTCGTCAATGACTTCTATGGTGTTTGTTTCATTCTAACCAAATCCCGACCTCGATAACATTGTGCTTAACGAGGGATAATGTTTTTTCCACACGTGTATCTTAGAATGGATATGTGGGGATGCTTTGAGGTCGGTGCCGGGGAATTTTTGTACCATATACTATTCAAGAGTTCCTAGAAACCCAGTTTTAAAACTATTTTCACATTTCCATCCTCTCGAAACAATATCTTTCAAGCCTAATATTAAAGTCTGCTCTTCAAGGACTGTCCAACTACGTCTGTTATTGATGACACCATTCTTATTAATTGTACATTTTTTCGAACCAGCATTAGATTCCATGATTCCTGAATTTTTCGACGTCAAAATGTTTAGAAAGTCAAGTCTTACAAATAAACATGCAATTAAACAAGTACAGTGTACCAAATGTAACAAGTCTTACAACACATATACATTTTTCCGTCTCGGAAAACAAATAAAATAAACTAAACAAGTAAACTGAACAACAAGCAACACATTGAAATATTTGTTTAACGCGAAATTAGCCAGTTATTATACATGTTCATTGGAATTGTATCCCGCCACGTGGTCCATTCTTCTGAAGTTTCAACCGTATTAATATAGTCTTCTCCACTAATTATGCTTGGATTTTTACGGAAAAAATCATCTAATGTTTCTTCCTCGGGGTTAAAGTCATTCGTTGTTCGTATGAAATTATGTAAGAGACAACAAGTCATTATGATCCTATTTTGAACTTTGATGGGATAATATGAGGAACTTCGTAGAATGGCCCATCGTGACTTCAAAAGACCGAATGCCCTCTCGATGATGTTTCTTGCCTTTGCATGTTTCATGTTAAAAAATTCTCAAAAATTTATCAGGGCATTTGGACCTTGACCGTAAGCATCAAGATGGTACCTAGTACCTTTGTAAGGTGCTAAAAACCCTTCACCATTCGTGTAATTCTTACCAACCAAATAGTAATTACCTGTGGCATAGTACACGAGTTTACTACAACTAAAATAGACTAATTCAGTGAAGAATTAAGGAATTGTAATTAAATATTTACGTTGTTACCCTATATATACAAACATACCCGTGGGGACCCGTAGACCATTGTCTCTACTCACTGCATTCCGAAGAATTTTACTATCGGCTGCAGAACCTTCCCACCCGGTTAGTAAGTAAATAAAATTCATATTGTCATCGCAAACGGCTAACACACTCACTGACACATTGCCCTTGCGATTCCTATATCTTGGTTTATCAAGACAAGGTAGACGACAATCTATATACGTTACATCTAGCGCACCAAGGCAACCCTAACATTTGATTGATGGCGAGGACAATTATTTAAAACAATTAAGTGACAATTATGATGTGAAAGTTATTGCAGTCAATATACAATTAGTACCTTAAAGTATGAAAAACGCTCGTTGTCTGAATTTTCGCCAACCGGCTTAGGGGCTATTAAAAGCATTTCGTGTAACTTCAACAAAGCTACAAGTACCTGATTAAAATGCTTGCTAACAGTGTACCCTGATCTATTGAAATGGCTTTTAACAACAATATTTTTGGTGTGATGAGCCAAAATTTGAAGAAACATTGCAACTTGCTCGAGTACGGTGACATTCCTATTTGGTCTAATAAGACCACCAACATTTTCTAAAACATAACACAAACGATAGAAGGTTTGTATATTCATTCTAAGATTATCACGACATGCAACATCGTTCAACCCAACTATAGAACGCAAATAATCAAGTTGTGAAGGTGTTCTTCCTATCATACTATAAGTTCGATTATAGCTATGCGAAGACCTCAAATGATGACGCTTAAATTAGGGAAAAATATGCATCGACATTAAGAAGAAAATCCTTAGGTTAAACATTAGTTGATGCATGACAACTATTATTTCTTCTTCTTGGTTTGACAAAGCCATCCTAAGCCAACAAGTTCCTACAAAGTGTATTCACAAATGTGTTTAACCAAAATAGCCCAATAGTGATTCCTGCAACACATTCACAGAACACAACATACGCATTACAAAGAACACCAAACTCTCAAATAATATGGAGAAATAACAAAATATAGGAACACATTGCAGTCATTATATTCAGACATAAAAAAAAACAGAGAGATGAACGCAACCAAATTGAAACACATTTCGCAAACGTACAATACACAGTAGTAAATGTAAATTAAACGAGTATTACCAGATAATAAACATTCAGAGGACCCAAATGATACATATACCAATTGGGTAAGTACCTGTATCATTCACTCGAAATCTGTTGATGAGAATGTCCGATCCACAATTCGGCGAAACTCTGATGGACTCTTTTCAAGAACGAAACCCTAATTTTGTTTGAAATTAAATTGCGAGCTAGATTTAAACGTCGGAGACGACGAAGTGAATGATGGCAACCAATAATTAAAAAAATGCAAAAAACCTGAAATTTCATATTTCCTTTCTGCAAATGTTGGTGCAAACCTACACTGTACGAACCATTCCTACTGCTGCTAGTGTGTAGCTGAAAAGGAAGCTTAGATTCAGTGAAATATGGAGAATTTGAGAAGAACAGGTGGAGCTGGGTAAAATTAGGGCAACAAAGTAACGGGAAATTTGAGAAGAAATTTGGTATATATATGTAATATATTGGTAAATATTTCATTTCTTAAGGGCAACATAGACATTGTACACCATACTCAGATGGTGGGATTATCACGTGTTACTTAGTCAAGCCGAAATCGGCTTGACAAATAATAACTCAATTGCTTGATAAAACATGTGGGACCACTTATCACGAGACCTTCTAACGTTTGAACCAAATAACGTATTATGAGGGACTATTCGTCCCATCAAGCGTAATAACTCGAACCAAAGAGGCCCTTATGGGCCCTTTCGGTTCGGTAGTTTGGATAGATAGCTATTGATGGGATATGAAATACTGGGACTAAATTGTTGATTCACAGTGATTAATACTTCATTTGGTTCGAGTTATACACACGAGTTATACTTTAGGGATTATTGTGTGTTAATTAGTTAAATTACTGCATTGCCCCTGAAATATCATATCTTATATCATCTTCTTCATCTTCTTTACTTTAGAGAATCTCCCCCTTTTTTAAAAACGTTGTGCACCGATGAATCTCTCTCCACACCTTATCTTCTCTCTGACTTGTTTTTCTTTCTGCCATAAAGCTTGTTGATCGACTGTTTGTCGTTGTATTCTAATTTGTCCTCATGAGCGCTGGGAGTACTACTTCGCGACGGAGTTCGAGCATTCGTCACGAGGGGGGGGGGGGGGGGGGTTCGATTCAACTGGGCAGCAACGAGATCTATGTCACTGCGGAAACCAACTACGCATACACACTTCTTGGACCTCGGCTAACCCAGGGCGCCGTTTCAAGTGTTGCGCAGACCGGGTATGAGTGGAAGGAGGTTCATGTAATTTGAGGTTTATTATTGTTTTTGGAGTAATCGTACGTTGAACGGTTTCTTGATTTCATTTGGATTTGTTTTTCTGAGTCTCGAGTGCATATTTACCCATTAATGTGTCGGGCCAAGGGTGTTAATGTTGACTGATTTTTTATCCAATTTCATAGTTTTTTGTAATTTTACGATACTTTCTCCTGCAGATCGGACTTGAAAAATACATGTTCTTGCTGCAATTTAAATGCAATATAAAACTCTGTAAATGGGTCCATTGTTTTCCACCGATGTGCAGATGCAAACTGTTTTTTATCAACTGCTTTGGGTAGTTGAAATTTTGCATTTTTGTAAAACATGTAATAACTTAATGTGGGAATTTAGATGTATTGCAATTTCATGGTGTAGGTACATGGTTGCCAAGCTTTCTATTGGTATGATCCGGCAATGTGCGAGCGATCGAAAAGTATCATTCCTGGCCTGATCTAAAAAATTAATGCCCTTGAGTCCCAAATACCATTGGAGATTCCCGTGTTGGTACAGAAAATAGCTGATTTGGAGAATCAATTGGCCTCAGGGGCAGGTGAAGCGAGGCGATTCTCAAACTCTTACCTGTGTTGTGGAATTAGTGTAGTTTCAATTATTTTTGTTGTTGTTGTGTTGTTTTTTTTGGTGTAGACAATGCTGCAATATGAGGTACTAAATTTGGAACTTTGTGAATCGTTCGGTCCTTGTAACTTGTAACAATCTTCATATTTATTAACGTTGTTTTGGGCTGTAGATATTGTATGTTGCATTATTTGCTCGGTTCATTAATTAAATAAATCTTGGCAGTTGAGGAACGTAAGTTTGAAACAGTTGGAGACATGTAATATCTGTGGAATTTATGCATACGAAATGTTTATGAGATAGCTATTTACGGAAACAATTGATGTCAACGTTCAATGAAGTGTAGTATTTTTGTAGTAACACATATTAAACAAAGCCACATATAATCATAGTTATACACATAAGTAAACCAAATTGGGAACTTAGAAAATTAGGGAACACTGGCCCTTCAATTTGTTCGAAACAACATCCGAAAGTAGTCACCAATACGAGTCTTTAAAAATGAGCACAGCGACAGCGAACAACAAAACAAAACAACATTACACCACATAATAAAACTCTAAAAAACAAAACAACGAACACAAACGAGTCTTTAAAACAGTACCGAAAGGGACAAACAAACTTTCAAACACCGTCGGAGTCATTTGCTTCTTCAATGTCGTCACTGAAACTGACGGCTGGTTCGTTACCCTCATTCCCACCCTCTTGATTCGCGTTGTTGTTGTTAGCAACGTTCCCACGATCTTCGTTTCGGATTCCATCATAGAGATCGTCTAAGTAGATCGCATAGTGGGGATCCACAACTTGGGGTGGATTTGGCTGAGGAGCAACAACTTCGTCGTCAGCCACATCATTACCGATGACGAGCGGAAGTTCTGGATCATATCCCACGAGGCCGCGAAAGTTGACTTCCGGGGCCTGTTTCACGTCAAACACGAAGTGGCAATCTTCGTATAATGGAAACCGGTTGATTCTAAAGGTCCTCTCTTCCTCCGTCTCCTACACATCAATACCATCGAATAATACGATCGAGTACTAATAAAAATTATTAAAATTCACAAATTAAGATTTTTATAAATTGAAGAACAGTACAACGAATGACTGTCATGAAACATAACATTCTATATGCAGAATTCGAAAAGATATGATAAGTCCACATACACTTTTATCTACCAAAAAACGGTAATTACAACATTCATACTAATTCTTCAAAAACTTAACAAGGGTATCCACCGTCGTTGTGAAAACATCCATATGAAATAAAAATCCATCAACAGAAGAATGAAGGACTGTCATAATGTTCATGTTTTATTTGGGAGCATTTATTTTGTAAATAGGAGTTGCATGCATTCAAATCATTTAAAAAAAAACGACATACGATACGAGAACAGTTAAAAAAACGAATAACGTTTTGTATTACCTTTCGATCCAGTGGCCACATGCTCCTGTCCACCGTCAACGACCCCGTTCGAACATCGTAGGTTACTCCGTCCTGTGCAATGTAATCTTTGAAGGCAAATTACCGGTTCCTAAGCCTGTTCATCCTACTCTTCGTAGCAACGTCGTCGAAGTTACGTGAGAATTGGAAGCACAAAGTGATGTAGACTTCGAACAAGCATTCTTCATACACCTCGGGGTCCTCCAATGTTTCAACGTCAAAAGCAAATGTTGCAGCCGCGTCGATCATACACTCGTCGTACTCGTACGGCCATCGGGCATTGTTGATTCTTTCCAAGCTACGTTGATTCCTTGTTCGGGGCCTCGACATGGTACCTACAACAATGGAATAACAAACACAACTTCAAAACATTGAACTGTATTAACAAGATTTAGAACGCAGACTTTCGAAATTGAAATAATGAAAATGGAATCACAAAATCTTAACAGTTGCTTCTGAAATGTGGACGGTTTTTTTTTTTTTTTTCCTTTTGATCTTCCTTGCTGCAGAATATGAAGAATCTAGGTCACACCCTTATTTATTTTCACCAACAAATTTCGAATTTATTTCCTCATTAAATGGTGCTCCAATTGGTTAACTTACTCACCAACTTGTACGCATTAAATGGACCACTTCATTGCAGCCATTAACACTTGGACGACTATTTCTCTCAAATGTATCACACTTAATGCCTTTCATCATTGTTTCTTGAACCATACAAATGGTGGTAGATGTGAATAGCATTCAATACTTTTGTAAGAAAGATTGATGTATGCTTGCACACATTAATGAAGGTTGCCTAGGGTTACGTTATTACATTTTCCAGGTCCTTTAATTTGTTATGTTTATTATTTCATTTGTTGAACACGGTTTCATGAATGCTTAACAGTACAATGGAACCACAAATATGTAATAATATTACGGCCAGTTATATATGTAGTTGACATATTTTTTTTATATTTTGTCAGAGTGAGTGCACTATATTTCCTGCCAACATTCTTGTCAGCCATTAATTGAACAAGAAATATAATCGATACCTACAATCATTAATTATTGTTTATTTATTTTCATTAGGTAGGGTTCCTTTATTTGTATAAATGTGGGTTGAGTAGGAGCCAATGTGAAGTGTGGCTGCAGCAAATAACATCAATTCCGTAATACAGTAGAAAACCATGGCCCCAAAGAAGAAGCCCATTTTTAGGCGCGGAGATTTTTTGTACGAGTT